GGAAAGTTAACATCTTGATTATATTATTACTTTCCTTTACAGTTACATGTACCATCCATTTTAGTTGTTGCTGCTGTTGGAAGTCTTTAATTGATGCAGCTTTTGTTATTTGTTATAAAACACTTTGAGATTTTGTAGCATTAATTTTGTGATGTCAATGAATACTCATTGTCACTTTCGTAATGCTCGTTGTAGTTAAGACTTTGTAATCGCAGATACAACTATAGTAACGCCGTTGAACAATACTGGTGTCAGATGCCTTCGAATAACACTCATACTAATAGTACTTACTATATAATACTCACTCAAATAGTAATCAGTATGGTGATCAATTAGATGCCATGCTAATTCCCATATATACATTTCCTTTATTATCATGTGGTCTACTTATTCAAAATTAGATCACCTGTGTTTGCTCTCTGGTGATCTGTGTTCAAACTACAGTGTTGGCAACAACACTTTATTCCTATATAACAACTAGTCTATACAATTTTATGAAGAATTGTAACCTTTAAAACTTTGACCTGAGGAAATGGTTGTATATAGATGATTTAGACCAGGAGTTCCCAACCTTTTTTTTTTTTTTTTTGTATCGTCCCTCACCTGTATAGCAAATATTCAAAATCATGCAATGATGAGTAAATTGTTTTGACAAGCACTTTTTCTGCCTTGATAAATGAGAAGGCCAATGTGATTTAAAAAAAAAAAAAAAAAAAAACAATTTTATATTAAATAAAAATTATCCTGAAGTCACTTAATTTTACTGGCATAGTTGTTCTTCATCTTCACTGATTTATATATCCACCCACCGAAGAAAAAGAAAAATGTTATTTCATCTGAAGAACTATTTGAATAATAATGACCCTTCTCAAAAGTATAGAAAATATCAAAATATTTTTTGTTTTCAGGGATATTTATATATGTAGGAATGGGATTCAGTTATTCCCATTTAACTGCCTGTTTTTTTTTTTTAGGGGGGTTTTTTTTTTTTTTTTTTAATTTTGTTTTTTTTAATAAAGGTTCTTTGCATAACTCCTCTGAATATTTTTTGTGGATAGCATATGTCAAAATACATTTTTAATACTCAAAATCTTATATCGCCCACCAAAATTTCCAATCACCCACCCAACAGTTGAAATCGCCAACTGGTGGGCGATATCACCCAGATAGTGAAATCCTGGTTTAGGCATTTCTGAATGATCTGGACACTATACATGACATCTGTATGATAGTCTAGATCTGGGGAGGTTATTAAGGATGTCTTTGAGTTTTCAGATCAATATTTTGGTTCATTTGTGTTGAACTAAAATTCTCCTAGAACTGTGTTCATTTTCTTTATTTTCTGTATTAAATTTATTATAACTGATCCATACATTAAGAAACTTAAAGTATTCAGAATTTATTCATTCTTCAGTAAATATATATCGACTTGACAAATTTCAGATTAAACTGAGAGGGTTGGGAACCACTAATTTCTTGTGGAAAATGTTTTTTCTGTGTTAACATTTCTGATTCAGGATGAATTTAGAAAAAGAAAATGATTCAAATCTGATACTTGATATTTCTAAAGTTTTCTTTAGTAGGACACAAGATCTCAACTGTCGAGCACCTTGTGAGAATGGAACTCACTCCAGTAGAAAGATTTCTAGGATTAATTTCCTAACTGCGCCTCTGCAACAATGTGGCTAAAACCCACACTGTCAGCTGTCCCAAGCTCTAACAATTGAGCTTCTTAGCCAACCCAACATATTATGGGATTTCATCTACTCAGACAAAGCCAAAAGGCTCATTGTTTACTGTTTGTGATCCTTTCTGCACTTTGAAAGCTGCTTGGTTGAGTTTATCAAATATTTCATGTTGTCTCTTGTTTGAAAAAATAAATATATGAGAGGGGCCTATTTGCTGTGCATGTCCGTGACATAGAGCTTTGAATTGGAAATGAAACAGTGTATAGTATTATGTTGTCTTTGTAAATGTATTCAATTTTATTCAGTGCCCATGTAATCAGTAATGAGGTTCTTGTTCTACTAGCACTTTCATTTCAAATTTTGAAAGATCTTTTGTCATCAAGTGATAGAAAAGGTGGTTATGGTGCTTATATTGCAAGCTGTTGCCAATGAGTTAACTTTCCATTAATTTTTTTTTTTAATTTTTTTTTAGTTTTTATCTAGGTTGACATTGTTGAACAAATATCAAGTTTCTTACAAGATGAGCATAATTTTTTTTTTTTTTTTTTTTTTTTTTTGTCTAAATTTCAGAAATATGGAATTATTATTTATGGTCAGATTAATAAATTTTTTTATATCTTTCTTATTATGTAACATTTTGGCCATTGTTTCTTCAGGCCTGCCTTTTTTTGTCTGTCAATCCAGGTAACATTCTAGGAATTTCCAACTGATCCCTTCATTTAATCTACAAGGGTAGATTGATTTCATTTCACTGTCCATATCTAAAGAGATCTCGTACTGATTAACACTTCCAGCTTCTTGCTTTCCAGTCAACTTTGACATTGCATTTAAATCTTTGACGATCAATTATCTTTCTTCTTAATCCCTATACTTTCATTGCTCCCTCTATCTAATAATGTTTTCTTTTTCTCATGTTCTCTAACATTCAGTAACCCTTTGTGTCTTAGTGGCTTTATTACCTTTCTTCAGGTGAAATGATTAAAAAAATAAAGTTGTCCAATTATTACTAGCTCTGTTTCCACTGAATATATTTGTACTACCCAGGCCAAGGATTGAACTCTCAATTATTATCTCACTAAACACTTTAATTCTCTCGACCCTTTCATTTCCCATTTATGGATATTCAGGTAGTGTAATGGATAGCAGCTCAAAATGAAAAATTAGTGAACAGAATTCAAATTTCAGTTAGATTCATTACAGTCACTTATGTGCAATTTTTTCTTAAATTAATTCACCCCAAACAAGGTGATAAAGCCACTAAGATGCAGGAGGCTACTGGGAATCAAAGAGAATAAGAGTTCAGAAGGAAACAGAAACCTAATCCTAAATAGGAAACAAGGGATAAACCTCTACTACTGTTCAAAAGACCAGGGAAGAGTGTGAACCAGGAAAGGCATGAGTCTGTCCTCCCCCAACTCTAGGTTAAATAGTAGGACTTGTACCTGGAAAAATTGTTATTCTCAAACAATTATTAATGCAATATTCACTTGCAAAAAAATAAATATTCTTATAATCCAAAATATGCTTTGGATTTAAATAACCCACAATGGGTTGATAAACTGTAAAAAAAATTTTTTAAATTCAATCACTGATTTCATATTTTAAAATATCTCTTGTTATCAATTGGTAGACAAAGCAGGTAAAGTGCTTATATCACAATCTGTTGTGAAAGGGTTTTCTCTCCATTCCTTTTCTTTTTTTTTTTTTGAGGTTTTACTAAAATTGGCAATGTTGAACAAATATTCAGTTGGTTAAATTACATGCTTGGGCCGTCATCTCTTTTTATCCATGACTGACTAGGCATAATATTTTCCTGCAGTAGGTTGCCATTTCTTTCTACAGTAGACTGGATGCCAACGAAGGCTATAGGACCCTGTCTGTCCTGATATTCAACTGATAACTGGACGGAGAAGAGATGGATTCATACACCTTTTCCCAAGAATATTTGCGCAAAATGAAGCCAACAGACTTGACTGGAACTCGGACTAGGCTGTCTGACTTTTCATTCCAAGAAGATATCCAGAAATTCCTTAAGATGTCGATATATTGGATGGTGTTTATTTACATTCAGACTTTTCTCCTCATCTTTGTTGTTGTTATCACATTTCGGCTGTTTTGTTGATATTATGTAAGATATTGAAAGAAATATTCTAAAATGAAAACACGCTCAAATTTAACAAATATTAATTTCCCTCTCTCAAGGAATATAATTATCATTATTAGCAAAGAACATGAAAAAAGAAAATGAATTTTGATAGTTCTGAATTGATTTCTTTATTCTTAAAGTTTTTACACTTACAGAAGTGTTCCAGTATTCTGATTATAATGGAAATTTTAAGTTGCTAAGCCTGTTGAATTAGAAAGATCTGTTTAATTATACCAATCTAGCAATAAGATCTTTTGCTTTATTTTATTGAGTCTGGTCTCATTATCATCCTAAAGAACACCGTGGGAGACTAATTGATACTGCAATCAAATAGTCAATGAGAAATGTTTGAAAACTGGAGACAGAATTAAAGCAATTGGACGCGTTATCTGAAGCTTGTCTGAAATACTCATTAACTATGATATAGGAAATTACTTAGGCTGAAATCTTTTTGACACATAATGAGGAAAGAAGGTTCAGTGAATTTAACATTCACAGAACATATCAAAAGTGAGAAAAACAGGAAAGTGAAAAGCAACCAATTTGAGTTTAAGTCTTGGATAATGAAACTAGTAACACAGTTGTATCATAATGTAGCAAGTATTGCTGAGTGAAACGAAAGATAGCTTAATATTTAAATCTGAATATAATAGACATATATATATATATATATATATATATATATATATATATATATATATATATATATATAATTGTTTAAACATTATTTTTAATGGATACTCATATTTTGGTAGATGGTCTGTTTTATTTATTTATTAAACAGTATATTTAATTCCATCTACCGGCCAGAATATTCTAGAAATATTGTGAGAAAAATATTAGCCGTGTCTCTCGACCTCCACGCTCGCCTCATTAGCCGTGTCTCTCGACCTCCACGCTCGCCTCATTAGCCGTGTCTCTCGACCTCCACGCTCGCCTCATTAGCCGTGTCTCTCGACCTCCACGCTCGCCTCATTAGCCGTGTCTCTCGACCTCCACGCTCGCCTCATTAGCCGTGTCTCTCGACCTCCACGCTCGCCTCATTAGCCGTGTCTCTCGACCTCCACTCTTTGGTTTTGATTAGACCAGCAGATTCCGATTTTCTATCATGAGCCATTTCTTTTTATTGAAGTCATCAGATTTAAGGATGAGGTCTGCTTACGAACATGATGGTCACATCTATGAAGCACATTGTCTCTCTGATCCTCTCTTATTCCTCTTCTGGTAATGACCTCTCTCTCTCTCTCTCTCCACCGCCCATATTGTCTTGTCTTCTTTCTCTCTCTTATTGTCCTCGCCCCCTCTTTTTTCTCCCTTTTAAATGGTTTCAATTCTTCTCTTAGAGTAATATTGGTTGGAATGTTTTTCTGATGAAAATTTAATATTGCAGGTTTTAGTGAAATTGTGTGTTCTGCTCTTTTGTACCTTGACTTCATGAATTGAAGTGTAGTACTAGATTGGCAGCTAGGTCTCCTCATTTTACGGTTGCAAGAGGCAGATGTACGTAATTAAGTTCTATTCTAATAGTTTCTTCTCTCGTACTTCTCACCTGTGGATCCCGGCTTCTTGCTTTCCTGTCAACTACGATCTTCAAAACTTTAAATGCAATGCCAATCGCCATCGTCTCTCTTGAATTGTATTTTTTCATTCTCCTTTCTTCTCACTAACGTTTTCTCATTTTCTTTCACTCTGAATATCACTTTGCGTCTTAGTGGTTTTATCACCTTTTCTTGGGGTGAAATTAATAAATAAATAAGTAAAGATCTTTGAGATTTTACTGGCCCAAGCTTGCAGATCAGGACAAGACGGAAAGCTAAAGTCAAAATCGGGACTGTAATTTGTCTGTTCGTTGCAATGACCTCTTTTTTTTTTACGTTCAGGAAATGTTAAATGAATAATTTTTTCTTTTAAATGCTGCAGTTTTTTTTTAAATAGGGAAAAGTCTACAACAGTCAGTTGGACGTAACTAAAAACCGATGGTCATATGAACATCTATGAAATGAGCCATTTTTCTTTTCTCTTTTTCCCTTCTCTGTCTCAGCTTTTCTTTTCTAATGACATGTTTACAAAGAACACCAACCTGTTTCTCGTCAGTAATTATCATTATTGTCTCTATTCGGACCAAGTTTATTGTTTGACTCTGGACGATTTACCAACTCTTGTCACCTGGATTCAACAACAATGCATTCCCCACACCTACCCACTTTATTTTAGTTATTAATGCTATGTTGATTATAACGTCAAATTCTTACGTTTTTTTTTTCTCTCTATTCAATCTAGTAATGTTCAAATAAATTTAAAATAAACCCTCTCTGATCGCATTCAAATGTTCACAACGAAATATCCTTTACAAGTGATAAATATTTTAAAGTTATTTACTTAAATAATATGCGGGAGTACAAAATTAAACAAAATTATATTATGGCTTCAAAAATGGACATTTTAAAAGTATATATTCGCATGATATATATATATATAAGCAAATATATGGATATAGATCCGACAGTATGAAGAAAAATATATACGGAAAAAACAAACAAAAAATCCTTATATACAATTATTAACATTAAAACAGCATAATTGTATATAATTTTTGTTTTTTTTCCGTATATATTTTTTTTATATATATATATATATATATATATATATATATATATATATATATATATATATATATATATAAAAAAACAAAGGTGGGAGGAAGAGCAAGGGTAAGAAAAATTTTACTCCATGTAAAGTGGTGGATCGAAAAATATAACCGGAGTTTGCTTTTTTTTTTTGCTTTTTTTTTTCTTTTCCTTTTTTTTTTTCTATTTTTTTTTTTTTTTTTTTAGTACTTTAAAAACGTACATTTTAAAAGTATATGTAAATATGTATAGTACAAAGGTAGGGAGAGAAAGGATTAAAAAAAAAAATTACTCACTGTAATGTGGCTAATCGAAAACTATAACACGTCACGAAACGAAACAACTAAAAAGCTAATTTGTTATCCCTCTTGACTCTTCAGAGCTCAATCGAGGACAAGTATGTGTAAATATTTGGACAACGACTAACAAAGAAGGAAGGAAAAACACTACCAAAGTATCGGCAATATAAACCAGACAGATTGCATTTAAACTCGGAAACCATTCCTTCTACGTAAAGAAGAAAAGTTGCTTAGATTTAATATACAAGATCTCAAGCAATTTCAAATGCGTTCTGCTGATTACTGTAAAAAAAAAAAAAAATGACATAAGACAAATCGAATTTTTCTGATGTCGCAGAATCGGAAGTATTATTTATAAGTATGTAAATTTTCATAGAACCTTTTTTTTATTATTATTTTGTATGTATTATGTAAATATAAACTTTTTAAATGTGCGTTTTTAAAGGCAGTTATTTACAGTTGAACAATCAAAGGGTCTGTGGCATAATTTTATATACAGGTAAAAAACCTGTAGTTTGACCAATATTTGATAAAAATATTTTATTTAGTCAATCCTTGAATCAATCCGTTCTACAAGTACAAATCTTACCTTCTTTTAATATGATAAATATTTTTGCCACAATTTAGCAAATTTCATTCAGACAATTGAATACATCTTTTATACTTTTGATGTAACATCCCAAACCAAGTTTGGTATGTTAATGTTTCTTCGAAAAGTTATGCAATTTGATCAAAACGTTATTATTATTTATTAGTTGTTATTTTATTATTGAACCCCATGAATTATGACATCTTATAATTTGATAGAAAACTATGGAAGTCGGACTAGACGAGTTGGAACTTTATAGAATAAATTCATACAACTATTACTGTGGAAACAATAGTTCTTCCAACAAATCCTTCTTCAAATGATGCCCTTCAGGTCAGGCGTGGTTTCAGGACCAAAGCATGATGGGAAATTACTTGGTCATCCAGCCATGTCTTAAAAATATTTCTCTTATTGAGCTTTGTACTTTTTTTTTATGTGCCCAGACATTTTCTTCAAAAGGAGCCGTTAATTCAACGACATTAATTTGTGATTTGCTCAACTGATTCAAAAACAAGATCAAGACCCCCGAACAATTAACGTGATTTCAGCTGGAAAAGCGAGACGGTCTTCCCAAACTATTTTGAGGATCCAGTCCATGAAGACATCAATGATGATTTGTACTTATTTGCAAAATTAACTTCCAAAGATGGTTGCAACTTTTACAAAGTTTTAACTCTAGCTTCTTTGTCATGTTGCCCACACAAAAAAGAAAATAACAAAAAACAAAAAGAAAAAACAAAAAGACGGATTAACATTTGAAATTGCCTGAGATCTTGTATATTAAATCTAAGCAACCTTTCTTTACGCGGAAAGAATCGTTTCTGGATTTAAATGCATTCTTTCTGGTTTATGTTGCTGATTCTTTGGTAGCATTTTTCCTTCCCTCTTTGTTAGTCGTTGTGCACATATTTATGTTTTGTTCTCTGAAGAGCAAGGAGGAATGGCCAGTTAGCTTTTTAGTTGTTTCTTATGTTGGTTCCGGTCAAAGAGAGTGACGTTGAAACAGTCTGACGCCTAAACGACTGTGCCGAATCAGCCACACCAAATAGGCGACGCCGAAACGTACTAAACCCAAACAAGTTTGGTCCAGACAATTTTTTTTCCTAGTGTAAATGTTTGTATATTAGTACCATAGTATCTACATACATTCCTATCTAAAGGCGTACATCACACGCCCAAAGAAAACTGAATTAAAGCTTCGCCCATTTTAAAATGTCAAAAAAGGTAAAGGAGTAATATAACTCTGGTCAGCGAATCTGTATCTTTCTTTGCGCCCCCTACTTTACCGTTTATTCGCTTTTCTTTTCAATTTCTTTTAGCTTTCTGACTTAACCATCTACCCTTTTTCTTTTATTTGGTGTTTTTATTTCCTTCTCTCTATAGATTTTGAATATTCTGTTATGTGAAAATGAACAGATAGGCTATGTATGTATGTGTCTGAAAAAAAAATTTTTTTTCATCATTTCATCCCAAGCAATAATAAAAATAGCAAAACAATACTGAAATGTTATTTATTTTTTTCAAAATTAAAAACCGCACAGCAAGAGATGGCAAGTTGTTTATTCTCACATTCATTGTTAAATTTCAGGTAATATCAACAGCTGATTAAGTACTTAGTCTGATAACAAGGCCACAAATGTAGAGCAGTCAGTCAATCTCATTTTAGAAATAACTAGTAATAATCCCTGGTGTTGCGTGGGCCAAGTTCCTTTCCTTTCGCTTGTTGCACGGCACAATTGTTTATTTGAGTTTTATATCTCCTGTAAAATGGTATTATTGAAATTATCTTAATCAAAGCACTTTAATCGATTTAAGCATTTAATTGTTTATTTCATATATATATATATATATATATATATATATATATATATATATATATTATATGCGTGTGTATATAAATATATATATATATATATATATATATATGTGTGTGTGTGTAAATATTTATATATATATGCGGTACTTATTATAACCAAATATATATATATATATATATATATGTTAAGAAATGGACAAGGTCCGACAATTTATTTATTAAAGACATTTTTATGTTTAACGTTGTTATTTATAGATACAAGTATTTAAGCAAATGCTCTGTTTATGATAAACAGTATTAAATAACATTTACCGGCCTGAATGTCCGAGAAATTTTCATAGAACGAATATTTTCTATGAAAATTTCTCGGACATTCAGGCCGGTAAATGTTATTTATAATCTTTATTTATGATAAACAGTATTAAATAACATTTACCGGCCTGAATGTCCGAGAAATTTTCATAGAACGAATATTTTCTATGAAAATTTCTCGGACATTCAGGCCGGTAAATGTTATTTAATACTGTTTATCATAAACAGAGCATTTGCTTAAATACTTGTATCTATAAATAACAACGTTAAACATAAAAATGTCTTTAATATATATATATATATATATATATATATATATATATATATATATATATAATTATTCCCTGTCCCTCCAGAACGTAGGCGATCATGGTTCTCCGCAGACACCTTTTTGTTTATTATCTCTGAATTGGCATGACTTTCCGTAGTTTTCAATTTGGAGCCTGTCTTTCTCCAGGAGGGTCCAAGTCTTCCCTTATATCTTACCCACGGGTGGAGCAGGTCGAATGGATTCACGTCTTTCCAAAATTTGTTCCGTCCTGGCTCTGATCGGGAGGTTGTGAGGAGAACGGGACCAACTCTTAATTGTCGTTGTTCCCAGGTCCACCTTGATCCGGGCTGGTAGCACCTGTTAGGGTCCCAGTTACGGGCAATACATTTTTGAAAAAATAAAAATATTAATGCATATTCTATTCACACGAAGCTGTCTTAAATACCCCATTGCGTTTCATATGCCGTAAAACAAAATAAACCAATCAAATTTGTTTGTTTTTCAAAATATTTAATTAAAAAAAGGTAACGTCATTTACTTCTTCATGCATTGCTTACTTTTCTCTACTCCTCAAACTGTGATCTAAATGCTCAGGTGGTTACTACCTTCAAGAGAAAAAAATAGCATCCTTTGAATAACTAATGTATTATAAAGAAAATAAAAGCATCAATTAAACAACTGCTTATGTCATTGTGTTATTGATAGTTAAAAAGCTTAGTTTTGTCAAGCACAAGACCAGTATTTTATGGTGTCATAAAATACAAAGTCTTATTTCACTTCTGTAAGTGAGTGATTTAATCTTATCACCTTTGCCTTCAATTTCACCAGTTTACCCTTGACTTTGACCACATCGATCGTTTCTGTTTGGTTTTAAAAATCTGACATCTGATGCATTTGCAGTGTCTTTAACAGCACGCCATTTTTTTTTCATTTGTCAAGAAGAACATTATAGCAAATGCTTGCTGACTAAAATAGTTCTGATTCAAACTACAGGCAGATGTGTAAGCTTAATTTTTTTTTTTTTAATCACAAATTTCCTACAATTGTAACTTTCTCTTTTTTGCATAATTTTGTCTATACATGCACATCTCTCTCTCTCTCTCTCTCTCTCTCTCTCTCTCTCTTGTCTACGCCCACATCACGTTGAAACACCAGTCTCCGTACGATCACCGAAGTTAAGCAATGTCGAGCCTGATCACTACCTAGATGAATGACCACTTGGGAATACCAGGGGCTGTAAGCTTGGATGTGCGGGTGGTGTAATGGATAATGGCTCAGAAATGATGGTGGTGCGTTCTAAAAGAGTTATTGTTATTTTACATTCTATGTTCTATATTGTGTATTTTTACATTTTACGTTGGTCGATACATATTTTACTACGCGTCTTTGGCGCAAATCTATCTATCAATCACAGTCTGTACATATGTATCTATCTATCACAGTCTGTACATATGTATCTATCTATCACAGTCTGTACATATGTATCTATCTATCACAGTCTGTACATATGTATCTATCTATCTATCTATCGTAATTGAAATAGATGCTCCATTTTTATTTTTACTTTTTGGTATTTGAGAAAACTTAAGAAAAAGAGGAAATATGCTTTCCTTAAAAGGTAAACTATTGCCCTGCTAAAATGTGGCGCTCTTCATAACCGAATAAAAAAAAATCTATCTATCTATCTATCTATCTATCTTTACTGGGTACATGTGTTTGAGTTGGTATCTGCTTTTTTATTTTCTTAAACAGTGAAAGATTTCAACTGACCTAGATCGACAAATTTTTTGATAAGAAAAAAAAAAACATACAAAAAAAAAAAACACTGATTGCAACTCAAATACGGGTACCCACTAAAAATAACGTTTCGAGGAACAAGAAATAATGTCGGATTAAAAAATTCATTAAACAAATTACTCGTATTTCTTTACTTCAAACGTTATTATTAGTTGATACTCATATTTGAAATAGACACCCGTTTTTTTTGTTTACTTTAAACAGTGCGTATTATGTCTATCGGCCTGTGTGTTCGAGAAATTTTTAAGAAACTGTGCTCACCATTAAGAATGGAGCCTGTATCTCCACTTTGTAGAAGAAACCACCATTTGATCCGGTGTGATTTTACCATTCGGTTATGAAGAGCGCCACATTTTAGCAGGGCAATAGTTTACCTTTTAAGGAAAGCATATTTCCTCTTTTTCTTAAGTTTTCTCGAATACCAGAAAGTAAAAATAAAAATGGAGCATCTATTTCAATTACGAGTATCCACGAAATAATAACGTTTGAAGTAATAATAATGTTGATAGATTTTTTTTTTTTTTTTTTTACATGATATTATTTCCTTTTATTCCAAATGTTATTTTGTGTATACACTCATATTGGAGTAGACACATTTAAAAAAGAAAAAAAAAAAAGAAAAAAAAAAGTGTGAATAAGTTGACCGGTTTGCTCTCCGGCTGGGTTCGAACCTATTTCCCGCTTTGTATGAGAAACCACCGTAAAAAAAAAAAAAAACGGCTTGCTTTTGGCCGCTAAGCTACAACGCAGGTTCGATCTCTGGGAACCCATTCCCTTAAGTTCCTCGAAGGTGCCGACCTGTAGACATAATTCATAATTTTAAAATAACTAGAAACAAAACAAGTCATCTGAATCTATCCACAAAATAACTATCGGGGTATTAAGAGATATATATATATATATATATATATATATATATACCCAAGATCCTAATATACAGCCAGTTAGATCAGGGCTACAGGAATGTAGGACGCCCATGGCTAACTTACAAAGACAAGCTGAAAATCAACTTGTCAGCAGTCAATATACCACATAACACCCTTGAGCGCTTAGCCTTGGAGTGGGTAGAATGGAGATCAACGTGTTTTAGTGGACTCAGCAATTTTCAATCTGCTTGTCTGAATCATCTTCAAGAAGCGAGAGCAAGATCTAAAAGGTCAGCCAATCTAACATTGATCTCATTTCACAATCCTCACACTTGCTCCATATGTGGCCTCCTTTGTAAATCACTAAATGCCACTTAAGATTATCGCACATAATTCATAACTGAATCAATAAGCTGTCAGATCATCATACGTCGAAACCGACGAGAGAGTCCATTTTTATATATATATATATATATATATATATATATATATATATATTTTTTTTTCTCGCTGTATATTCCTCTCTCTATCGAGATACGCGCTCATTTCACTCTCCGTTTGTTTGTCTTTCCCTTATATATTTCTCTTATTTATTTCTAAATACACACATGCTATGCTCCTCTGATCTACTTACCAAACATTTGACTAAATGATCAGACATCCAAATTTATGCGAGGGTGGAGGGTCCCCTCTTGGTCGAGCCATGAACTTTTCAACATTCTTCTTATATTTAATCGCAGAGAAAATTTCCTCGAGCAAAATTTTTTCAGACTTTTAAGAATACACAGACAAATTCAGATTTGCTTACAAAAACCTGATTTCAATCTTTTTTAAATGTTATATATATATATTCCGTTTTACTTTTTTCGAAAAAAAAAAAAAAAATACTTTTGCAACTTTTTAGCTTCGTACTTCAAAGAATCTGGTGGCATCAATTTGTCATATTCTACGACTGTTTGATACCAAAATCTGTCAAAAGTCCGGAGGCTTAAGATTTACTCGATTATCTAAAAGAAAAAACAAAACAAAACAAAAAAAAACAGAAAACTCCTTCCTCCCATGATTCTGCCAGCAGCCAACGTCCTATACACGTGTTGGTTCCTTTCATTGAAGAAAAGGAAAAAAAACGACAACCATTGCTTTTTTTTTTTTTTCCCACCTGACTATTATTAATTGAAGTTCTTTAATGATGTTGAGCATGTCACACCTGGGCGGGAAAGGTGAGGAAAAAAGTTGAGGGAGGAGAGAATTGTATGACTTTATTAGTAAAATTGTGTAGTTAGACTCGTGTAAAAGGGAGCTCTGAAAATATTTTTGCCCTTTTTATTTTGTGGGGAGGGGTTTCTACAGATTCTTCATTTATTCATTCGAAGAATATGTAAAGAGTTGAATTAATCTTAAGATCGTGAAACATGAATATTCTTCCCACCTCCTTTTTAAATTCCGCTCAATACAAGTGTCAAAACTTTCTACAGCTATACACGCGCCCGAAATATATATATATATATATATATGTGTGTGTGTGTGTGTATGTTTGTATGTTATGCATATGTGTTTTATTGACTGATACATATTGGGCATCTTTTCAAAGAATTTGTACACATTTTCTTCAGACTATAGATTTTTTTTCTTCTCTTATTCCATTAAAAACTCATTATCTATCCAACACTAGTTTGTCTCTTTTTCTCCTTGGTTTTTCCCATTTTATCTATGGATCCACACCACGCCGCTCTGCCCCGTCACTGCTCTGTTCCTCTCTATCTATCTATCTATCTATCTATCTATCTATCTATCTATCCATCTGTCTGTCTGTCTATTGTCGAACTGTTCCTCTCTGTTCTCTCTCTCTGTGTTTTGTTAGTCTCTCTCTCTCTCTCTCTCTGGTTTGTTAGTCTCTCTCTCTCTGGTTTGTTAATCTCTCTCTCTGGTTTGTTAGTCTCTCTCTCTCTGGTTTGTTAGTCTCTCTCTTTTTCTCGGGTCTGCTAGTCTCTCTCTCGGGTCTGTTAGTCTTTCTCTCTCTCTCTCTCTCTTTCTCTCTCGGGTCTGTTATTTTCTCTCTCTCTCTCTCTCTCTCTCGGGTCTGTTAGTCTTTCTCTCTCTCTCTCAGTCTTTCTCTCTCGGGTCTGTTATTTTCTCTCTCTCTCTCTCTGGTCTGTTAGTCTTTCTCTCTCGGGTCTGTTATTCTCTCTCTCTCTCTCAGGTCTGTTAGTCTCTCTCTCTCTCTCGGGTCTGTTAGTCTCTCTCTCTCTCTCAGGTCTGTTATTTTCTCTCTCTCTCTCTCTCTCTCAGGTCTGTTATTCTCTCTCTCTCTCTCTCTCTGTTATTCTCTCTCTCTCTCTCTCTCAGGTCTGTTATTCTCTCTCTCTCTCTCGGGTCTGTTATTCTCTCTCTCTCTCTGTCTCGGGTCTGTTATTCTCTCTCTCTCTCTCTCTCTCGGGTCTGTTATTCTCTCTCTCTCTCTCTCTCTCTCGGGTCTTTATTCTCTCTCTCTCTCAGGTCTGTTCGCTCTCTCTCTCTCTCTCGGGTCTGTTATTCTCTCTCTCTCTCGGGTCTGTTATTCTCACTTACTCACACAGAAATTGTTGTCAATATTCAAATGTGGGAAGCTGACCTGTTTTTAAAATTAACATTGAAATACTGGTTTTTACATTGACTCAAACGCCAACAAGTGGCGGATAAGCTACTTTCTCAGTCATCAAGCACCTACACATATATGGAGAACTGAAACGTTCTCGGCCCAACCAAAACAAATGACCTGGAACTATCGGCAGACGTATATACTATTCCACATATACACATTTAGACATTATTTTTCTGTCTATAATCCGATCGATCGAAATTTATTGGTTTCTTAATTAAATAGTAATTTTGGTCAGTTGGTCGGGTTGATAGCTGGTAGCGCCTTGTTCACCAAATAATTTTCTTTTGATACAAGGAAAAATTGAGGGTGTGATGGAGTAAAAAGACTAGCTTATATCTTTTCAAGGAAAGAGCGCTTGATTACCTTGTAGATATTTTATTAAGCTTAGCTTCGTCTGACAATGTCAAGTGAGGAGGAGGATGAAGAATATTGTGTTGCGTCATTCTTTCAAGTTAGAATCTTCACCCTTTTTAATACCTGGGCTCAAATATGCCCTTGTCAAACCAGCTCCCTTTTACCTTTCGCCATTTACTGAGAAATTTGTATCGTTGTCAATGGTCGTAGATACCTTTTCAAAAAGTCAGTCTTTTCTGTCTCTCCATTTTGTCAGTATGTGCTTTTGAAAAGTATTTTTTTTTTTTTACCGCCCAAATTCATTTTCTATAATTTCTGAAGGATATTGATGGTATTAATGGTTGAGTAGTCCCACCATTCTGTACACATCACATCCTCCGCTTCAATCTCGGGTGACATAGATATTTCTTTGGAATACTCAGTGTCATTAGTATATATATATATATATATATATATATATATATATATATATATATATATATATATATATATATAATATACTTAGGCATACTGCAGCCATAATTTTTTTTTTTTACTTTTACGATTTCTTTCATTTTTTTTTTTTTTTTTTTTTTTTTTCCTTGGCGCGGGGAGGGTCTCCACCGTCTGCTTTTTGAAATATATGCATGTTTATTTCATGAGTTTATCTATATACAAAAGAATACATATCAAGTAACAGTGTATGGCTTATTGAACTTTTTTTTTCAAAGCGTGACTAGTTCTCTCCTTACATTTAACATAGAATTTAAAACTTTTAGATCTTCATTCACCAAAAATTGATGTCTTTCACCCAACTTCATTCCTAACTTTTTTCTTTAGAAAGTTTCCCCTTGTGTGTGTGTGTATATATATATATATATATATATATATATATATATATATATATTTCTCCGTCTGAAGAATTCACAAGTTTGGAAACTTTTTTTTCAGTTTCTTTCGAATTCAGATAAAGATATTCTTGCTTTTCTGTCTTTGAAAATGTTATCATTACTTCTGGCATGAAAATATTGTAGATTCATTTAAGATTTTCAAAATTTTAAGATTCAATCAGTTGAAGTCTTTTCACCTCGAGGATTTTTTTTTCAGGGACCACAATCTGATTTTGACGATGTTTTATATAGAAATTCTTTTTTTCTGTATGTATTTAAAAAAAAATCTTTTCTCTTCATTCTGACTTGAGAAGGTGAAACCTTAAATAGTCGAATAAAAGAAAGTGTATGTCTCTTTATATTGTAAAAACTTTTTTTTTTTCTTATTTGGTTAATGTTGAAATGAGAACTTGAAATTTCTCTGTAAAATCTCTTTCATTTTATTATCTCGAAAGAGGCGGAGATGAATGAAGAAGAAGAAAAAAAAGACGACTTTGCCACTCATTTTAGCAAACAGGTTTTGTGCCTTACTCCACTGCTGCGAATTTTCTTAACATGAATTGATTGCTGACAATCGTGCCGGCTCGGTGATCGAGGTAGTTGCACGTTCGCAATCAGCTAGGATTGAAAACTATTAACATCAGGATTTCAAATGTTGGTTTTTCAAAACAGTCTGACCCTTTGCACTTGACACATTGCTAGGAAAACTGAATTATACCAGAGTATAAAACAAACTTTAAAAAAAAAAAAAAAAAACTATTTACATTCTGACTATTATCCTCATCTTTGTTGTTGTCATAATAACGTTTCGGCGGTTGTGCCTTCATCAGATATATATTGATCTGGGTAAACCTCAATGAATTCTGAATTGAACCCTTTATTTAATCTACGAGTGTAGACTGTTCTCGTTTCACTGCCCATGTCTAGGGAAATTTCATTTAGTTCTTATTTTTAGTATTGCTCAGTTATTGCGCGTTCCGTTTCCACTGACTGCCTGAACCAGGGATTGAACTCACAATTACCATGAACAGGCAAGCAATAACTGAGTCGTACTAAATATAAAAACCAGATATCAGTAGACATGGGCAGTGGAACGGGAACAGTCCACGTCCGTAGATTAAATAAAGGGTTTAGTTCAGAATTCCCTGTAGGTTATCCAGATTGATGTACATCTGATGAAGGCCGAAGGGTATAACGGCCGAAACGTTGTGTTAACAACAATAAAACTCCTCATCCCAAAAATGCTGACAGAAAGAACAAATTAAGCAAAAGAATTCGTAAATCCTCTTTTGGTTGGTTGGGTTTTATGGCATATCAACCACTGTAGGTCATTTAAAGCCAAATTAAGTTATGTGTATATATATATATATATATATACACACACACCTATACATATTAAATATACAGTACTATTAAACGTATAGCTGGCAACATTATTTTTCTGAAAACATTATCTGAGGCCTTGCTGTTGGACGTAGTTTATCGTCATACCTAGGACGCAAATCCTCTTTTAGACGGGTGTAGAAAAGCTTCTTTTTAAAGTCCTTAGGATATGGTTTAAATCATTTTATTACTGGACATTTTAGGAAGACGTTTATTGCAATTATTCGTGTATAATACGCACACTTAACTTTGGGCTACGAAATTCTATGAAAAAAAAATCCTGTCTATCATACGTATGAACTTTTTAGAATTTTTAGCAACTAAATTGAACCTTTTTTTTTTTTTTTTTCAACTTTTTGATTCGGTTCGTATCGATTAAAAATAAGACTTTCTATAGTCTCTAGTGGGTTTTCAGATTCGACCTTTCCATGGTATTTAGAACAATTACACATAGTCACGTGATTCATAACAAACTGACGGTAAAATAAGTTTACGCGAGGAGAAACAATATTCCAATAGCGTTTAACGGTTTCTCTGAAGCGGCGTAAAAACAGGAGTGGACTTTACTGTTGTTTCCTTTGTGAGGAAGAAGGACAAGATGACTTTGTGGACGACATCAAAGATGACAACATAAACGAAACTGTCATGACATCTGATATTTAATGAATATAAATCATAGCTAATTCCAAGACTGCAAAATACGCGTGGAAATTAGGTTATTGCATCGCGTTAACTATTTGAACTTAAAAACTTGAACCAAATAATCAATCATAACTATGAATTTAGGTCATTAAAGAAGAGGGTACAAATAAAACGATTTAAAATTGACAAGTTTTTCCATTTAACTGAAGCAAACGTTAATCGCATGAGAGCACTACCGCTTCTTCATTCTTTCTTTCTCTACTTTTTCTCTTTTCTTCTGTTTCTTTTCTGTGTCTTTCTTCTTTCTTTTCTTTTCTCTTTTATTCTCTTTTCTTCTTCTTTTCTTTTTTTTCTTTCTTTCTTTTCTTCTTCTCTTCTTTCTCTTTTATTCTCTTTTCTTCTCTCTTCTTTTTTTCTTCTCTCTTCTCTTTTCTTCTCTCTTCTCTTTTTTCTTCTCTCTTTTCTTCTCTTTTTTCTTCTCTCTTTTCTTCTCTTTTTTCTTCTCTCTTTTTTTTTCTTCTCTTTTCTTCTCTTCTCTCTCTCGCTTTATCTCTTTCGATTTGCTTGAAGAATGAAATTGTTCTCTATTTTCTAATAGTGATCGTAGTTGTTTGAGATCAAATAAATGCTGGTTTTCATGACAGGCACTTGAAAAATTGGTACAAGGCATTTCTTCTTCTTCCATAAGTTTTGTCCTTAATGTTCAGATCGTTTAATTATATTATAATTTATTCCATACATCTTTTACTATGCCTAGCTTAGCACAGTGCAAGTGGTGTGGGTTTGCTTCCTTAAGAAATATATATTTGTTTTTTTTTTTTTTTTACCTAAGTTAGAACAGCGATTTCTGACATCGCATGAAAATGTGTTACTGCTTCGGCCACGACATAAGCCAATTATTTATTTTGGCATCCTTGTGGCATTTAATAAATTGTAAACCACACACGCATCTTTTAATTGGTAAATAAAATATACAATTTAATGAAAGTTAATGAAGTTGAATGGTAAGCTTGGAATTGCCCCAGCGCAACTAACAAAATGATTTTGCTACAGCAACTCTGCAACGTTACATAGATTTTTTACGGCTTATCAACCTTTTACAGCTTATTTAAAGCCGGAAAATATTTTTAAGTTGTAAGAATTTTTTTTTGGTGGGGGAGATAATCTGGATTTACTGGTACAAGTCGTACTAATTAACCCATAGCTGGCGAACAGATGCGGATTCATACCTTCGCCGAGTAAATATAACAAACTCAGCTCTCCAACATCAAATTCCGGGACGTTATTTATTACATTACCGCACACCCATGCTTACAGCACCAGGCGCAACGTTGCTCAACTTTGATGATCGTATGAGAACTAGTGTTTCAACGTGATAAGCCTGCAACGTTACCTTTTAGTTTCATTACTTATATACTTTTTAGACTGCACAAGCTGCAGAAAAAGCGTTGCCTTGTATTGACTCCCACGGTGCAGCAACAGAATTTTGCACCAGAATTTGTACTTGTTTTCTGGAATGAGGCCAGGTAAAAAAAATACAATAGATTTCATAAAATTGATTGAGTATAAATCCCCTGTCATCGTCATTTTCCAGTGGGGGGATGCTTGTCACTTTTTTTTGACCCTGGTTCCTTACTTGGAAAATAGTTGATTGCAATGTTACAGTAACGCGTCGTGACATCGTCATCCCCATTCCCCCTCCCCCAAACCAAAATACAACGAATATGCAACGGACAGTTTTAGAAACTGCATTACGGGGAAAAAGTAGCATGATAGTCAGAACATAAGAGTACCCATATCGGCCGAAATAATGAATTCCTGAAAATTGGCTGCTACTTGGCCGAAACGTTGTGTCTTTAATTAATAACATCTATATTAAAGATAATAATTCGGAAAAAATGTCGAATAAAGTCAAAGACAATTCCTCATCTCAAGAACCGAAAACAAAATTTTCAACTTAAAAAATCTTTTCTATAACGACAGCATTGTATAGAAGGGGAATTCGTTTTCGCAATGAAAATTAAGTGTGAAGTTTGAAATTTCGTGCGATATTAAAAATATATTTATTACTTAGAGACTGAATCTTTAGATTTAAACATACAACACGGTATTTAAAATTATTAATCATATCAAATTTTAAATTTTATACTCTTACAATTACCCTAAAATTATATTTACCTTAAAATTTAAATTTCTTTTACGTTTTTTTTTCCTCTCTCTCAACAAGAACGGCACCACCAAATGAAAAGGGGAGGAGGTATTAACTCAGATGAAAGGTTAAATCAGATCTTACCCTTTAAAGATTTATTTTTCAGAGCGCCCACGTCGGCAATGCCGTGGAAAAATTGCCAAAGTCCGTTGGGCACTTCCCCTTTTGGTGGGTGCCTCAGGTGCCGGACAATAAACCCAACCTCCTACCGGTGGAGAGATATCTTACCTTTTAAAGATCCTTTTTATGTTATTTTATCTGATCCTCTCATAAAATGAATATTTTTAGATCTATTATCTTACTGTGAATATTTTTGTGTTGATTTTAAATACACCATTTTTCTCCTAGCTTGCACTTTATTTGTGTGTAAATTTTAGATAAGCTAATGTTACCGCTGGGGACAAAAGCCAAACTGAAAATTATTTATTTTCAAAATTAATGGCTGTTGTACTGATTGTAGACAAATGACAGCTCGGTTCAAAATCATTGTCATTGGTTGAGGCCAAAGCAGACAAATTTACTCTTCTGTTTAGGCTTCACTTCTAAGAAAAAGGAAGAAAGACATTCCAAATCCCTCCGTTAAAAAAAAAAAAATCTATTTTAACAGTAGTAATGGCTACTTCCATAATTACAACTGATTTTCTTATCTCCATCCTTAAAGAGTTAACCCTGATTGTAGTTTTTATTTTTCCGTCATCTTTGTCCAGTTTCTGTTTCCTCTACACTAGAAAACAATAACCCACCTACACACCGTTAGTATCTCCGACATGCAAAACTGCCCCTTGTTACATTATTCCCCTTAATTTGTGCTATCATCTTTTCGACACTGCTGCTGTTCTGGTGGTTTTTGATTGATACTGGCAGCTGGAGTTGGCTGTACCTTTTGATGAAAGAGAGAAGAAAGATGTATTCGTAATTGAACATCTAAAAGTTCGTGTGCTTCGTGAGTAAGATAGAAATAGTATTCACAGCCTTTTGAAACCCCTGACTGCTCAAATCCCGGCCCTCCTTGGACACACCTCGTTAATTATGGGTTCTTAGTCCGCATAGTGAATGAGGCGAGAGAAGAAACAGCACGTGGACGCCTTTATTGGCTAGATTGTCCTCGGCGTTTTAACTAAGTAGTCATTTTTTGAGTCGGAAACAAAACACAGATTTGCTTCACGCTTCAATGGCCGCACATTTCTTTGTAGATGAGCGGGCATTGTAGCCTAGCCTCTTGCTGCTGTTTCTTCATCCCGTAGGCATCAGGTCTCGTTTTTTAGTCGAGGTCAGCGCTGCATAAGAAACTAAATCAGTGGGGTGGGATTGGGATCACTTGATTTCCGTATAGCCATTCATTTATAGTAACGTTGACAATATAAAAACCCTTTTTCCATATTGTGGTTTATTTTATAAATTTATTTATTTATGTTGCTTTTTGGATTTGCTTGTCGATTTACGGCTTATTCTTTCTGGACATATCCCCCCTCCATTTTTTTTTTAGAAATTTTATTGTTTTTACATTTATGCTTTTCTTTATTTAACATAATTTATTTCCCATCACATTATCCCCCCCTCTCGCTCATTTGCCTTTGCCTTTTGTCCTACGCTCTTTGTCCTCATTTTTGCTCCCATATCCCACATCAATCCTAACTGCGTCTTTATTTTTCTTTCTCCCTACTCCAATTCATTCTTCGTTATTTTTTTTTTATCCTCCTTGTTCATTCGTCTTCGTTTCATTCTTGTCCGTTTTTTTTTTTATTCTCCTTCTTTGTCGATTTTATTCTCATTTTCGTTCGTTGTCACTCCTTGTCGGCTTCTTTTTTTTTTTTTTTAATTTCCTTCGTTCGTCCTTCCTTGTTTTATTTTCAAATTTCAGTCGTTGTCTTTTTTTTTTTCTTCTTACCTTTTGCTTAATTCTCCTTCCTCCCCCTTCTCTGTGATTTTTTTTCTTTCATTCTATTCTCCTCCTTCCTGTACATCTCCCATGATGATCTTAATTTTGTTTTCAAATTCTGGATTTCTTTCTTTTTTTTTTTTCTTTGACCTACGTGATCTATCCCACCTTTTCTTTCATTTTTTTTTTGTTTGTTTTAAACCTTCTAAACACTTAAGCAAATAAAAAACAAAACAAAACATTAGGCTACCCCCCCCCCCATCCATGTCTTTTTATGTAACATTCTTCTTTCTTTCTTTCATAAATGTTTCTCTTTTTCAGATTGGCTTCAACTTTTTACAATTCTGTCTTGATTCCCAAACTTTAAGAAATATTTCTAAGGCGTATAAAGTAATTAGTTTTCGATCGTTTTTGTTCGACGACGATTTTGGAACGGGATAGTAATTTCAACTTGTAATTAGAGTCACTTATCGATATTGAGTTTAACTGTTTCTGACGCACAGGCCCAGATTTTGTGCGCAGAGTTATAATAGGACTTACTAACAGCCATAACGATTTGCGGGATGAGCTTTCTGACCATTGATTCACGGTGTCACTCAATTGCCATAGCCTCATACCAACCTATCCTTTGAGTTACGATTAAGTTTCAGAAATGATTGAAGTTTTTTCTTAGTCTGTTCATTATATATATATATATATATATATATATATATATATAAATCTCCAAATGTAAAAGAACGAAGAGAATATAAATTCAAATGTTTCTTCATTTATCACTTTTATGCATGTGACGTGTTTTTTTTTTTTTTTTTTTTTTTTTCTTGATTTTGGGGTTGTGTTGAACAGTCAAATCCATTGGTGCAAAATGCAAGACAATATTTTTTATGTGAGTAGTTACGAGAAGATATTCTTTCTCCAAACATCTGTACTATCGGGTTACGAGGCGAGATGGAAATGGACATTTCTGTCAGTACCTCATTAGTAAAATGTGTCTAAATTTTGATGATTGAAACTTCAAACTTCCAAACCCTACGGAACACGATACTAGACTGTTTTTACGTAGATGTTAAAAAAAAAAAACTCTTGTTTCTTTGGTTTTTACTGTAGACATCAGGACGTGTTTCTTACCCTACACCTTTTAGCACATTGAGAAGATATCGTCTTTTCTCTCTCTCTTCCCCTTTTTTTCTCTCTCTCTTTCTTTCGCCCTTTTTTCTCTCTCTTCCCCCTTTTTTTCTCTCTCTCTCTTCCCCCTTTTTTCTCTCTCTCTCTTCCCCTTTTTTTCTCTCTCTCTCTTCCCCCTTTTTTCTCTCTCTCTCTCTCTCCCCTTTTTTCTCTCTCTCTCTCTCTCCCCTTTTTTCTCTCTCTCTCTTTCTCCCCTTTTTTCTCTCTCTCTCTTTCTCCCCTTTTTTCTCTCTCTTTCTTTCTCCCCTTTTTCTCCCTCTTTCTCCCCTTTTTTCTCTCTCTTTTTTCTCTCTCTTTCTTTCCCCTTTTTCTCTTTCTTTCTCCCCTTTTCTCTCTTTCTTTCTCCTTTTTTCTCTCTTTCCTTTTTTTCTCTCTCTTTTCCTTTTTTCTCTCTCTTTCCTCCCCTTTTTCTCTCTTCTTTCTTTCCCCCTTTTCTCTCTCTCTTTCCCCTTTTTTTCTCTCTCTCTTTTTTCCCCCTTTTCTCTCTCTCTTTCCTTCCCCCCTTTTTCTCTCTCTCTTTTTCTTCCCCCCCTTTTTCTCTCTCTCCTTTTTCCCCTTTTTCTCTCTCTCTTTTCTTTCCCCCTTTTTCTCTCTCTCTCTTTCCTTCCCCCTTTTTTCTCTCTCTCTTTCCTTCCCCCCTTTTTCTCTCTCTCTTTCCTTCCCCCTTTTTCTCTCTCTCTTCCTTTCCCCCCCCTTTTCTCTCTCTCTTTTTTTCCCCCCTTTTCTCTCTCTTTTCTTTCCCCCCTTTTTCTCTCTCTTTTCTTTCCCCCCTTTTTCTCTCTCTCTTTTTCCCTTTTTCCCCTTTTTTTCTCTCTTTTCTTTTCTTTCTCCCCTTTTTCTCTCTTTCTTTCTCCCCCTTTTTCCCCTTTCTCCCCTTTTTCTCTCTTTCTTTCTCCCCTTTTTCTCTCTTTCCTTCCCCCTTTTTCTCTCTCTTTCCTTCTCCCCTTTTCTCTCTCTCTTTCCTTCCCCCTTTTTCTCTTTCCTTCCCCCTTTTTCTCTCTCTCTTTCTTTCCCCCTTTTTCTCTCTCTCTTTCCTTCCCCCCTTTTTTCTCTCTCTCTTTCTTTCCCCCCCTTTCTCTCTCTCTTTCTTTTTCCCCCCTTTTTCTCTCTCCCCTCTCCTCCCCCCTTTTTTCTCTCTCTCTCTCTCTTCCTCCCTCCTGCACTGTTTTTCTCTGTACCATTTGCCTTCAGTATCTCCTGTGAGTGTCAGATTTTCTAAGCCTTCTTTCCTCATTATGTGTCCTCTCTCTTTCACGCTAACCTCTCTTTCTCACGCTCCTCTCTTTTCTGTTTCTCCTTTCTTTTCTCTCTCTCTCTGTCACACACACTTCTTTTTTCCCCTTTTTCTCTCTAATATACTTTCAATTTGTCTTCTTTTTCTTTTTTTTATTGCAGAACAACACCTGACCTCTTTTTTGCATAAATTTGAAAACTGAAGATTTTCATGCACTTTGTCTATTCATTCAACTTAGTGATCACCATTTTTTTCAAACGTCATGACCACTTCCTTTGAGGTACTGACTTCTCCAGTCAGGATTTAATTGAAGAAGCCTTCAATGAATTTATCGGTTCTATATACAAGTTATTTTTTTATTTGTTTCTTGTTTGGGAGGGACTTTACAAGATGGAATCAATATAGAGAGGCCGAGGTGGAAGAATTTTCTTTCTTTTTCTTTTTCTGTTCAGTCTTCATTTTTAACTTGATTTTACAGTTGCATTTTGTATCGTAAATAATAGCTTTCACTTTTTTTTTTTATCTATGTTGCTTAAAAAAAACTCTGCATTTGCAAATGGTACCCTGTCACTAGTGCAAATGTTTTCTATTTGTATTTATTTTTGTTTTGTCGCCATTTGCTACAGTCTATAAAACTTCTTTTATTTTTTTTGCCTTTATTGCTTTAGACTTCTGATATTAACATTTGTCTCGGCAACTGCAGTATCAACTGTTTAACAAATTGTCGATGAAACCAGTTGCAAGTTGCTTGCATGTTTTGTTGTTTGATAGGTGAATTATCCACAAATTTGACAGCGTTTGTTACTTAATGCAAAAGGATTTGATAAATGCATCGAAGTTAAAGAATAACAACTGTGATTCGGTCTGTGAGAACGACAGCCAAGTTTTTATCACTTAGGAACTTTCATAGAATATTCCCAAGAAAAAAAATCTAAAATGAATTGTCTGTTTTTGTTTAATCGTAATAGAACGTGATTTGGCATTAGAGAAATTAATTGATAATGATGGATTTAAGAACATTCATTTTAAGAATATTGGTGTAAGGGAAAGCTGTCTAAAGACATTTGGCTAAGGAATACTTGTCTAATATTTTTTTTTAATAAATTAATAAATTTATCATACCTTGAATCAATTAGCAATATTAATGCAATTATTGGTGAAATCCCTTCGCTAGTAGACATAATTATAAGCATTATACTACTAATAATCCACTGAATGATGAGATCCTTATGTATAAAATGGATATGGTATATTTTTTAATTCAGCTAGTACTTTTGAATGCTTCACGCATTCATCTTGGGCTGTATTTTTTCCTTTAGAATCAAAACTGGAAGACGAAATAAATGTATTTTTCCGACCGAAAGATGTTTTAAGAATGAGCAATTTATTAACGGTTATGTAGTGTTGGAGCGTGCAGGTCGCAATGCTAAAGTTCAAATATTTTGAGAGAGAATTTTTATGAATTTTGTAATTCATGAATTTTTTTTTATAAGTGTTTTTTCAGTTAATATGACATGAACTAAGTAGATAGTTCAATTAACAGAGTGATATGTCTTAATAGTTTTTTTTTCTCAGGAAAATATATATATATATATATATATATTTTAAATGTTTTATTCAGGGGATGCACATGTTTGAATAGGCATCTTTGATTTATATAAAAATAAAGTTGTGCTCTTTATTAGGGTTTGAGCTTGCCCACCACCTTCTATAAAGCAAACCATCGTATATATTAAAATCAATTATGAATAATTTTTAGGGTGTATTGTAATCTGAAAACTTAACTCGCATATCAAGAATACCAATGTAAAAATTGGTGTTTCATTCAAATATTTTGAAATATAAAACCTCTAGCTGTAATTAACCCAATATTTCTTTCAATCAATTGTTCTTGTTCTCTCTTTAAAATATTTTTTAGTTCACATTAGAACTGCAAATGAATTATGGGTAATTTCAATTTAGTGTCTTGTTCTAACCACTTGTGATTTTTTTTTTGTTTTTGTTTTTTTTTTGTTCAAGGAACATTGAAAATTTTCTCTGCAGAAAGGTAAAACCACCCTCCCCAAAATTTAGACTATCTATCAAATAAATGCTCAAATATAAATGAGCAATATTCATTTTTTAAAAATAAATTCACCCCAAGCAGGGTAACAGCACCACTAAGACATAAGGGGGTTATTGATGGTGAAAGGGGATGAAAAAAACTTTAGAATGAACTGGAAACCCAATCCTAAAGATCAGGGAGGAGTATGAACCGGATGATACATGAAACTATCTATCCCTTTTAGAGAGAAATAGAATGAATTTATCAACAACAAAAAAGGAGAGTTCATGCCTTTGCTTGAAATTACATCATAAAGAACTATTGGAACTGTTAGGTAAGCTTGGTAAAATTTCAGGCAGAAAATGAGAAGTATAGTTTTAAGTAGATTTTAGAAGAAACCAAAAACCCAATCCTAAACAGGAAACAAAGGATAAACCTAAAGATCAGGAGGAGTGCGAACCAGGTGATACTAAAGTATCCCTGAACCAAATAAATTCTTATGGATGGTGTTTTAGCCAGCAAACAACTGAATGTGTCTTCCTGATATTATGCATTATCCATAGTATAGACTGATCAAAGAGAATCTGTTGTATTTGGTATTGCGGGAATTTCGATATTAACCTTTTTATCCAATACACAGTGGAGCATTTTTGTTCCACTGTTCATGCAAAGGGACATAACTCATAGTAGTTAATTAATCCCTGTGATACACCTTTTTGTTTCTCTCTCTCTCTCCATTGATCCAGAGTAAATTCCATGATTGTTACATCATAAGAATTGGGTCATGTCTCAACACTTTTTCCTCACTCAGCTATCACTCACAACAGTCAAGGGGTGAAATTATGGTACCTAAATTCCTACAGGGCATAAAATTGTGTTTAAATATATCTCCTTACCTGATAGTCATGAGTTTAAGTCTCTACGCCAGGCAGTAAAAGTCATAGTACAATTAGTTGTTACAAGAAATCCCTTAGCATTGACAGCATGAAAAAAGAGTTTAGCTTGAAAAAGACTGCTACTAAATACAAAATGCCTGGCAAAAAGGCTGTTAAGGACAACAGCTGAAATATTGAAATTGTAACAATTAAGATATTTGTTTAAATAAATCTAGGGCAGGTTTTTTTGTTTTATTGGGTTTTTTTTTCATTTATTTTAGAAAATCAACATTGCACTCTATGTAAAAGCTGGTATCATAAGTACCGACACCAATAATTAGATTCGTGACTTTTACCAATTTTTGAGCATTTAAAGATAGTTTGAAAAAATGTACAGAAATATACTTTAGTTTTGCTTACAAACTGACTTCAAAATTTTACTATTTCAAGAATAAACCCAAATAAAGTTGACATATTTTGTATTAGATCCATTAACTAGAAAATATATTCAGTCCAGAATTTTAATTATAAATCATCACAAGCAAAATATGCATATTTTTACTGTATTCAATAAGTAAAAAAAATGTGAAAGATTACAGAATCAGCTACTCAATGAATAAGTTTTCTTTAGACCATAATTCACAAAAAATAGATAAATGTGTATATAACACCATAATACTGCTGGGCACAAATTATCAGACAAAATGTTTTAAATTTGCATTGTTTATTGAAAACTAAAATGACTGCACTAAATCAATAAATCAAATATAGCTAAATTGTTCAGTACAATTTCCCTTTGAAGTAAATGAAGGTCTTATTTGATGGTACAATGATTTAGTAATAATGTGTGTGTGCCTTGCATCTTGACCATATACAATTTGTAAATTATAAATTATATAAGGCTTTCCCTGATCACCGGAATTAAATTCCAATGCTACGATTTTTAACCTAAACTTAATCTTTTAAATTCCTTTTGTCAAAAAAAAGGTGACGATTTGGAAATATATGTCAGACACCAAGTTTCAAATTGAGTCCAATATGACAGTTCCAAAATCGACCTGCCCTAATATTACAGGACTAATGCATTCTTTTGGATATTAAGTCTAAAAAGGATTGATTTTCAGTTCATACGTTTTATTAATTAAAATGTTTTCTTTGGTGTGACATGTAAAAATAAACTGTTTATTTGGAGAGTCTTTTTTCTTTTTTTTCTTTTTTATCGAAAACTGGTACGAAGCTGCCATTATAAACCCTATGTCAAAACTATTTGATCGAATTTAAGCAATGTCAAGCCATAGATGGATGACCATTTGGAAATACCATATGTGGTACGCTTGGATGTGCAGAGGGTATAATGGCTAATGGCTCAGAATTGTTAATTGGAGAGCTTAGTTTCAATTCCTGTTTGGTTCATTATATTCACTTAGGCACAAATACTCTTGGGAAAGGTATGAATCCACCTCTTTTCTCCCCAGCTATGGGTTAATTAGTATCACTAAATCATTATTACCTCCAAAGAAAAAAATCCTCACAATCTATTTTCTGGCTTAAAATAGCCTGCAAAGGGTTGATAAACTGTAGAAAATGAATCATTTGATGTTGAATATAAGACTTCTAAGACACGCCACTGATGTCTTTTGGGATAATGGATAGAAGAGCTTGATGAGGACATTAAGAACTCTTCATCCCAGAAATGCAGCCAGAAATTTAGTGTTCTGTTATTGTTGTACAAATTGATGGTTATTTGAAAACTATTAAAGAGGGTGAGGAATTTAAAACCTGTTTTTGTTTCTTTTGTCTGATTGTTTTCTTGATTCTGCTTTAAAAATAAGGATACAAGATTTACCCCATATCTTAAATCTTAGAAAAAGCTGTGAAAAGGCTCTTTTTTATGTTTAAGGTGAGAGAAATTTTGTAATTTAATATTTATGTGTATTTAAGGAAGGCTAAATATTTTCATTGTGAAAACGTCTGAAATATGGCCAACATTATTTTTAAGTTCATAAATTTGAATGATATATGAAGAACTTATTTATTTTCTAATTAGTACCTGTATTGATAAAGTTAATCAACTAAAAAAAAAATTAAAACTTTGTATACTTGCAATGGGGGTGTTTATATTTTTCTGGAAAAGTATTTTGGAAAAAAAAAGAAAGAAAGAAGAAAAAATTGGTTGTGAATTTCTGGCCACCATATATTTTAGTTTTCCTGATCAAATTGCAAATATACAAAAATAGATTCGTTTTGACTATTTGAAATATTTGCATAGGGGTTTTTTTAACACTTTATCATTAATTAATACACAATTATGGATTGTCAAATAATCATTAAAGTTGACATCAATTTTCTTCATAATTTAGCAAGAAAGACACCTAGTTTTGAATCGCAGCACAGCTTAAAAATCTTTTACTCATTCTCATAACCATTTTAAACCCTCTACCTTGAATGGCCCATGGGCCTTGTTTTGGGTTAAGTTTAGTATAAAAAAACTTTTAGAATCTAGAAGCTCATATTGTTTGTTTGAAAATAAATTATCTTTTAATTTATAACCAGTAGTCTATCTTTTTAATCTATCGGATTTTATAAAACTAAGTAGAACAAATCATTTTCATATTATAATAGGAGTATAAAAATAAATTTAATTTTTAAAGTATACTTTTGCTCATTGCATTTATTTTTTGATTTTGTATAAAAAAAATTATTGTGCACCCAATAAAGTCATTTTTAAATTATTCTGATTTTAACATTTATCAAACTATAGGAAATTCTACAAAACAAACAAAAATGAGAAAAATTGATTGATTTATTGATTCTGTTAATTGATTCCAGTCAGAATTATTTAATAATCAATTAGAAAAATTTCAAATATGTAAAAATTCTATTTAAAATGTTCATATTCAAAAATAGCATTAAATTTAAAATAACAATTTTTTCTCAGACATGTTTTATTTAAATAAAATAAAATGTCACTATCAGCAAAATGAATTCCAAAATCACCCTGAAAAATTACAAGATTTAAAAAAAAGTATATGTTTAATGATTTTTTTGATTATTTTTTTTTTTTTTTTTTTTTTTTTTTGTTCCCGATCAAATCTGAAAAAATGTTTTATTAAATAAATTATGCAAACACTATCAACAAAAATTATTTTTTGACTTTATTATTATAAAGTTCTTTATTATTTTTGAAGTTCTGGTCAAATTTTCAGTTATTCACAGTTGATATTGCATAATTTTTTCTTACTGATTTTTAGGGATTTTTGTTTATGTAACTGTAAAAAAAAAAAAAAAAAAAACCCCAAAAAAAGCAATTGAGCACAAATTTAAAAACACGCATGATGTATTGAAATGGTGTGGATAAAACTAAACGCAAAAAAAAAAAATCTCCTCCACAATGGATTCTAAAATAAGGATATTTATTAATAAGTACTGGAATTTATTTTTTTTTTTTTTTTTTTTTTATTATCAAAAGTGTGCGTACATTTTGGTGATACCTGATCTATTACATACCATTGTATTCTAAGCACTACCTCCAAACGCACCAATCTGATTGAGAGCCCCAGTCAGTGCTTTGTGACCTTGCTATCTTATCAACATTTACTTTTTTCGACCTACATTTTATATAAGTTACAAATTAAAGTAAACGCAACTAACTATTAAAGAATGAAAATTTTAACAGGTCAAAAAACTGTTTTTTTTTTTTTTTTTTTTTTTTGTTTTTTTGTTCCAATCTGTTAATTTTTTTGCACATCCTAAATCTAAAAAAATAACACTGTATAAAATTCACTATTTTTTATCCATAATGTTGAATGATTTAAAGTTCTTCAACTTTATGTTGATGTTAAAAATTGCCGCTAAACATTTATTTGATTTATTTAAGATGGAAAGTCTTATGACCTGTTCTTAATTTGCATTTAGATACATTGGATTCATTTTCAATTTTTCTAGTTGAATTGTTCACCTATATTGCATATGATCCATTATTGTACATAATTAGATTACAATAAATATTTTTTTTTGTTTTTTTATGAATACTATCTAGTGAAAACTGAGATGTGGCGGGGAATGTATCATAGATTCAGTGGGGGCCCACAAAACCTTTACTCTGGCCCTGCCTGGTGCAAAATATATTTTTATGGAAAATTCCATTTTTATTATCTGTAAAGTAAAAGAAATACGTTTTCGTCATTTTTACATAAATCTACATTTTTATTTTTGGTAAATGTTAAGATTACTTTTTCTTCTGTGAATAGAAAAACATATTCCATATGACGTTTTGCAAAAGATTTAATGAAAGTAGAAGTCTGGTATAATTCAATAATTTTAATTTAAAATGAATTATACCACATAAGGAAGGGCTTTATCGTAAAATGTCTGAACTTTTAACCCTTACTCTATGTAGTTTGATTTTGTAGTGAATTATTTGTTTTTATATCCAGTTTGTGAATTCTTAGTGTTGATACATTCATTGTGATTTACTAGTTTCGTACGAGAAGTTATTTATTTATTTACCAAGAGTAGTTTAATAAAGCACCCATCAGTAAGGATTGAACTTGCTTCTTCAGTAAATAAACAAGGATTTGTATAATGGGACACTCCTAATTGATATTAGACACTGACTCATTTGCTCTTTGTATACTTCAGAATAGGTTTTGCCTATCACTTGGTTCATACTTCTCCCTGGTTTTTTGAACAGTAGTCAAGGTTTATCCTTCCTTTTAGGTTTAGGATTGGATTTCTAGTTCCTTCCAATGTCTTTTCATTCTCTTTCACTCCCAGTAGCTCCTTACATTTTATTGGCATCATTTCCTTGCTTGGGGAGAATTGATTAACAAAAAACGTCTATATTTGAGTTCATGGTTTCGAATCTAGATTTTAAAACTGAATAAGCATTTTCTAACTTGAAAGACTGGTGCAGCACTGTCTTCCGTCCCTAATTTCATACTACTTTTGTACTGGACTACACTAATCTTAGATACACGAATATGAAGTTGTCTTTCTCTCTATTTTTACACCTTGGCTGCGTGATTCGTAACCTGTTCTGCAAATCTAAGGAAGGAAGATGCCTCACAAACTTGTTTAAGTCGTAAGATGTTTGCCCATATTTTTCTTTCTTTTTTTTTCTCCAGTAAACGAATTATTATTAGCATTGGTTCAGGACAGTTACGCTCCGACCTGCATTTAATTCTTGTTAAAAAAAAAAAAAAAGTACTATTGACACTAGTGCTGAAAGGCATAATGAGTCACTTATTCAAGAATTTCTACTTCTTAATATATAGTTAGATTTGCCTGAGGCTTCGAATGGACCGCAAAAAAGAGACGCTACACATGTCTTTCTTTCTCTCTATATTCGTATGGGTAGATCTTCGTCTTTCATTCAGTCTGACAAGGTGTCTCTTCTCTCTCGCTCTCTTTTTTACATCAGATATTTGAATTTTTTTTCTTTCCATTTTTTTTTTTTTTTTCATCCTGCCCTTGATGAACAAGCTAACCGAAGCAAGCAGTGCAAAGACGTCGTGTAAAAACTCTAGGCGCAACCTCTTACATGTTCTAGAGCAGCTAATCTAATCTACCTACTGAACGAATCTTTACCTATTTCCCCTCCCGACACTTTCGTTATTTACTCCCTGACTCAACGTAGAAACATGTTTTCCTCACCTAAACAAAAAGGAAGAGGAAAAAAAAAAAAAATGAAACTCAAGCAGACCATTACTGAAATGACAATTGCTTCATACCTCTTAACAATCCAACCATTCTTGTTTTTGATATTAAGCTTAACTTAGTCTGGCGCAGGGCCAAGGGGTATGAGGAGGCCTGTTCCTAGAAAGGGAGTTCTCCATCCCCTGGAAATTATTTGCCCCCTCTCCTTGTGAAAAATAAAATTGACTAATTTTAGTATACAAATACTTACTCGCTGCCAATTGACTCCCCCCAATTATGGTGACAGACTTGAATCTACTTGCCTGGAAAGTCAGAATACTGGATTTTATATGGGCTTGAGCACCAGCCTCTGGCACTGATGTAAATCTCAACTATCTTAACAGCTTGTTGTCTAGTCTGGCACAAATAAGCGGGAATGAGATTGTAATATCAAAATTTTCCAAGGAAGGGCATTCACACCTCTGATTTTTAAACTTGTGTCAGTGAAAAATATAAAATTCTTCTCTTAAATTTAATCAATTTTTTTTAATCTCTTTTCTTAGTTAGGGTAAAAAAAACAAAAACAAATCAGGTTTTCTCTTAACGTGGTATCCCCTCCCAACCACTTGCCTTTTCTATGAAATTTTATTGCTAAACTAAATGACACCCAGGTGCATACTTCTTGAAGGCTTTGTAAATGCTACCCAGGTACATTCTTCTTCTTGAAGGCTTTGTAAATGCTACCCAGGTACATTCTTCTTCTTGAAGGCTTTGTAAATGCTACCCAGGTACATTCTTCTTCTTGAAGGCTTTGTAAATGCTACCCAGGTACATTCTTCTTCTTGAAGGCTTTGTAAATGCTACCCAGGTACATTCTTCTTCTTGAAGGCTTTGTAAATGCTACCCAGGTACATTCTTCTTCTTGAAGGCTTTGTAAATGCTACCCAGGTACATTCTTCTTCTTGAAGGCTTTGTAAATGCTACCCAGGTACATTCTTCTTCTTGAAGGCTTTGTAAATGCTACCCAGGTACATTCTTCTTCTTGAAGGCTTTGTAAATGCTACCCAGGTACATTCTTCTTCTTGAAGGCTTTGTAAATGCTACCCAGGTACATTCTTCTTCTTGAAGGCTTTGTAAATGCTACCCAGGTACATTCTTCTTCTTGAAGGCTTTGTAAATGCTACCCAGGTACATTCTTCTTCTTGAAGGCTTTGTAAATGCTAAACATTCTTCTTCTTGAAGGCTTTAAATGCTACCCAGTACATTCTTCTTCTTGGCTTTGTAAATGCTACCCAGGTACATTCTTCTGGCCTGCCTGCTCTCCCCTCTCCCTTTTGCTGTTATATCCTGTGAATGTCAAATTTTCCAAACCTTCTTTTCTCATGATGTTCCAGAAATTTCAGCCATCTCCTTCTGATTCTAAGTACAAATGTCCTTACTGTTTCCATTTTCCTTAGACCTTCCTAATTGCTCATTTGTCTTGTCCATGGTGTTCTCAGCATCCTTCTGTAGAACAAGATTTTTGTTACTACAAGTCTCCTTTTCATCTGTGAGGAAAGCATTTTGTTGAGGTATCACCAAAGCTAAGCAATGTCTAACCCGACGAGTATTTAGATGGGTGACCATTTGACAATACCATGTGCTGTAATCTTAGATGTACAGGTAGCGTAATGGCTAATGACTCTGAATTGTTAATCAGAGAACCAAGTTCTAATTCCAGTTGGGTTCATTATATTCAGTTATATGCAAATACCTTTGGGAAAGTTATGAATCCACCTCTCCTGACCTCCCAGCTATGGGTTAATTAGTAAGACTTGTAAATCATTATCTCCAAAAAAAAAAAAAATTCTTAGAATTTAAAAATATAAATTATGCCCAAAATGAAAATAACACTGACATCTCATTTTAAAATATAAAAATATTTATCAAAATTACATAAAAAATATCTTGAAATACTAAAGAGTAAATTTATTCAATAAAATCATCATTGGCTTCAACCATGGCCTCCAGACAACTTTGTCCAGAAGAGTTGCAGGAGATTCCAGTCTCATTGTTTAAGTTGGTAAATGCTGCCATAATTCTTGCTTTCAGTAAACTTTGGTGTTACAAGGAGTTTTGTTGGTCCCTCTCTCAGCTGTACCTCACACATAATAATCAAGAGGCTTGCAGTCTGGGGAGTTAGGCGGCCAGATGTAAGGTTAATGTGATTGCAGAAATTGTCTGACAGCCATGATTGGGTTCTTCTGCTTGTGTGGCATAATACAGAGTTCTGTTGTCAGACATAGGGTCATCCAGCAGCCACCCTCTTGACCCAAGGTAGCACTTGATGTGGACCTCTGTGTTGGGTGTTCTTTTCTTATCAAAACAGAGTGAGTTTTCCAAGCTGTCATACTTTCGTAATTGCCATTAGACTCGTCCAACTCTTTCTGAATGCTCTGCACTGTCCTGAGATTGACACCCAAACACATTGAAATGTTCGTATTGGAGCTCAGGGCATGAAAGCCAAGCAGCACAACATGCTGTTTCCAAATTTCAGGCAGAGTGAATTGTCTTGGTGCTCTTTTTCTCATGGAGAGTGCCCAACTGATCCTAGTATACTGTGCAGTCAACAAAAACAAAATAATGCACATGCACAAAATTAAAACTGAAATGGTGACAATGTACCCATGAAAACCTGCATTTTCTGGTTTGAAATAACCTGTGAAGGATTGATTGGCTGTAGAAAATGAATCCGTCAATCATAAAAATGCTGAATGTGCTTTTGACAATGGGAGGAACAGTTCTGCCCAGCTGAATATCTTTGGTATATGGCGTTTTTCTTTTTTCTAATAAAACTTTGAAAATTATTTAACCCATGAGGAAATGACAAGAACTGATTTTTGCATTGAAAATGTGTGTGCATGTGTTTTGTTAAAAGAATCCTTTTTTTGTGTTGCTGGGGTCAAAACAAGCAATGTAGCATCTTGAGTGGTAGAAGCATTTAAGAATTAAACATTAAACAAAAAAAAATTAAGATATTGAACACATGCACAGATTTAACTGACAATTTTATCTTTTACTTATCTTAATACTAAATACATGCATTATATATATATATATATATATATATATATAGAGAGAGAGAGAGAGAGAGAGACAATAATCTGGAAATATCTTGATAGATAAATGTTTTTTATTTTCAAAATGGTTTAATATTTTTTGATACTATAAAGTGATTTGTTTCCATTCTCAGATTGAAAATAAACTAAGCAGAATAAATTCCTAAAGTTTACCTGCCTCTATAGAACCAGTTCCTGGAAATTTGGGATACCATTTGATATATATATATATATATATATAATTTCAAACATTATTATAGTGGATACATTGTATTTTAGATATTGTGTATAATGACTGTGCATTCTAGAAATCTTGGTAAAGAAAATGTGTTCTAGACTGGGATTGAGTCTGCAACTCCCTTTCTAGGGGAAACCATTCTTTGATCTGGTGTGTTTTACCGTTTGGCAACAGAGAATATCACAGCAAGCAAGGTCAAATTTTCCGTTGTTAAGGAGAACGCATCCCTATCACTCACATTACTTTTTCAAAAGCCATTCATTAATTACAAAATCAAAATGTAAACAAAGCAATTTCAAAAGAATTAATGGATTTATTTTACTCTGAGATTTTTATTACTTTAAACATTATTTTAGTGGCTACTTTGTATTTGAAATAGATTTCCACATTTGTAATTATTTAAGTGTGTATTATGACCATTAGTCTACATCATTAGTGGTTTCTGCTACAAAGTGAGACACAGCTTTGGTCTTTGATTGATGGGGGGAAGGATCACATTTTCTTTACTAAGTTTTCTTGAATTTCAATGTCCAAAATGTTGCAATAACAAGAAAGATGGAAACAATAGTCCACACGTAAATAGTGTAAGTAATGGTAACTCCTTGTCCCAGAAATTCAGACAGATATATCAAGTGTTGAATTATTTTTTGGATTTGTTGTTTTTTTTTGTTTGTTTTTTTATGGCTTATCAACCCTTTGTGAAATATTTAAAGCTGAATCCTATTTTGGGTTGTAAGAGGTTGCTTACAGTAACCAGGCTTCACAAGAAGTCCCTCGTCTAATTACAGACTGAACTTGATGCTGTTTAACTTTAATAGGATTAGATAGGTTTGCCTATCGTTTGGTTCACATTCCTTCCCAGTCTTTGGAACAGGAGTAGAAGTTTCATTCTTGTTCACTCTCAGATCCCCTTGCATCTTAGTGGCATTATCACCTTATTTTGGATGAATTGATTAAAAAAAAAAAAAAACAAACTCTGAGACTGAATGTTAACTGAGGCAAGAAGCAGTTCTTGGCTTTGGTCAAATCAGGCTGGGAAGTTCTTTGCCAATCCCACTTCAAAAAATATGACCAAACATCTTTTTTTTGTATTTATTTTTTAAAATTTTTTGTTAAGGATTTCTTCAGACTGGGAAATTTTTGGCAGTCTTTATGCATGCACACTGCATGTTATATTTGTGGAATTTATAATAAAAAGTTCCATTTAATGCCAAGCAAATTGTAGTTGTCTCCTTTGATTTCCATCCTGGGTATGACAGTAAACTACATCTGCGTCCTGGGTAAGACGATAAACTACATCCAACAGCAAGGCCTCTCATCAGGAGAACGTGGAACCATCTCTTAAATGCTGGTTTTCCCAGGTCCACTCTGACCTTGGGTGGTAGCACCTGTTAAGGTCCCAGCTGTGGGTAAATAGTTAACCCCCCAAACTGGGGTCAAAACACTATGAGAGTGTA